TCAATCTTGGAAGAAAGTCATTTGGTAGCTTGATGGGAATGGCATTGAATCTATAAAATTACCTTGGGCAATATTGGCCAATTTTCACAACTATTGGATTCGTTCCCTATCATGGAGTATGGGTTTGTTCTTCCATTTGTTTGTGTCCTTCTTTTATTTTCACTGAGCAGTTGTGTTTTGTAGTTCTCCCTGAAGAGGTCCTGTTACGATCCCTTTGTAAGTCGGGATTCCTTACTGTATTTTTATTCTCTTTTTGAATGTTATATGGTGAATGGAAGTTTATCTATGTTTTGGCTCTCTGTTTTTGCTGTTCACTGGTATATAAGATTATGCTTGTGATGTCATCATATTTTGTATCCTGAGACTTTGCTGAAGTTGCTTATCAGCTTAAGGAGATTTGGGGCTGAGATGATGGGGTTTCTAAATATACAATCATGTCATCTGCAAACAGGGACTATTTGACTTCTTCTTTTCCTAACTGAATACCCTTTATTTCTTTAAATATATTAAGTAAATGCAAGTACATATGGCACCAGGGAATGGGAACACTTTTAAATGGTCCTCAAATGGCCAAAGTTTGGGAAGCACTGTTTCACTGTCATGTACTACAGATCTTACTGTCTAGCAATATGCAGCAGGTCTAGGAACAAATTGTATTTTTGGATACCCTGGCTCCTCCAGCTGCTGTTTCTTCAACATGGAACAGTGGAAGTCTCTCCCTCATTCTCTGTTATGTTACCAATATCTGATGTCCTTCAAGCAGCAGTGCATTTACTAAGGTGACAAATGCTCACTGAGGTCAAATCTCACATGCCAAGGATTGAGCAGGGATTGGGCTGCAGCTGCTGATAGATGAAGTTCTTTCAGAAGGATGAAGTTCTTTCAGAAGTCTCCCTGAATAAACAGTCTGAATAAAAATCTCCCTCTGCTTTTCACCGCAGGTCAACATTCCATCATGGATTATACTACAGTTTAATTTAGATGCCTTTCTCTCAACTGGACTGCATGGATTTTTTATCCAAGTAGTTTAGCAAAAATTGAGTTAAATTGTAAAGGATATGACTTAATAGTTGTCGACCTAAAAGGAAGAAGCCAAGGCAATATTAATATAAATAGATAGTTTATTTGGGCCAAGCTTGAGTATTGCAACCTGGGAATATAGATTCAAGTTGCCCTGAATGTATGCTCTGATTAGCTACAGTTAGAAGCAGATTTTTAAAGACGAAAAAGAGGTAGTTTCTGTATTGTTTATCAGAAATGTACATTAAAATCATACCGGCTAAGGATTTCCTGTGCATTGTTCTTTGTATCACAGATTCCAGGAGCAAGAAGATAATGGGTGAGGCAGGTAGTCAGGAAAAAAATAACTTTAAACAATTGCCTGGAGCATGGGTGCCTTGAGCTCAGGGGAAGGGTGTGTGACTGAAGTTTCATACTCATGTCTCTCTGGGCCCAATATACTTTGCATCATTCGCATATTTCAGACTGCTCTGAGCTGTTTTTCTTTTCTCATAGTTATGGTCATGTCAGACCGTGGGAGACATTCAAATGTCCATAGGCGAACAAAATGGCCCACTGAACCCCTGAGCATAGCAGAAAGGCCTGAGTCTGGAAGTCAGGCAGTCAAGTTTAAAAGTATTAATTCATTTTCTCCTTCCTTTCCTGTGGCCCTGGATAAACTTTGTCTCATATGTAAACTGAAGTGTATTAGTTATCTATAGCTGCATATCAAGTGACAGCAATATTTAATGGTTGAAAACATTATTTATTGTGTCTTAGTTTCTGTGGATCAGAAATCCAGGGACAACTTGGTGGGTGACTGGCTCAGAGTCTCCCATAAGGTCATAGTTGAATTGCCAATGGGGACTGCAGCCATGGCAATGTTCAGTGGAGGAAGATCTGCTTCCAAACTCACTCATGTGCTCAGGCAGGCTTCAGAAAATCCACTTCCACATGTAGGGAAGTTTATATTTTTCCCCTCAAGTTATTTAAAAATAACTTGAATCTATACAAGAAATGAATAATGGACAACTTAACAGGAAAAAAATACATTTTATTACATGCACACATGTGTACAGGAGTCACAAAGACATACAAAATATAAAAGCCCAAAGAAATGGCAGATGGTTGATGCCTTTATACCACCTTGAGATTACAGAAAGAACTGGGGTTTAGAGCATGGCCAAAATCATGTTATGGGTCAGACACGGTGGCTCACGCCTGTAATCCTACCACTTTAAGAGGCCAAGGAGTCCAGATCTCTTGAGCCCAGAAGTTCAAAACCAGCCTGAGTAACATGGCAAAACCCCATCTCTACAAAAAACTGAAAATTAGCCGGGCATGTGGGTGCCTGCCTGTAGTACCAGCTACTTGGCAGGCTGAGGTAGGAGGATCAGCTGAGCCTAGGGAGGCCAAGGCTGCAGTGAGGCGTGATCGTGCCACTGCACTCCAGCTTGGGTGACAAAATGAGATCCCATCTCAAAAACACAAAACAATGACAAAAACAGCAACAAAACACAGGTGAGATAGTAAATCAGGTTATGATGG